AGGAGGAGGAGGAGAAGCGAGGAGAGAGGAGCGAGAAACGAGGAGAAGGAAGAAGAGGAGGAGGAGGAGGAGGAGGAGGAGGAGGAAGAGGAAGATGAGGGGAGGAGGAGGAGGAGGAGGAGGAGGAGGAGGAGGAGGAGGAGGAGGAGGAGGAGGGGGAGGGGGAAGTGCATCTGGGCTTTTGTCTGTATTCTGTATCGGTGACGAACCTGGTGCTCTGGGATCAAGACGGGTGCTCGGACGTCGCAGTCCTACCTCGGGCCGCAGGCGGTGCAGGAAGTGGACGCTGGCCGGCGCGGGGGGCGCACCCCCAGGCCCCCGACGTCGTGCTTTTTTCGCCGAGCCACGCCCTCCAGAAGTCCGGACGCCAGGCATGCTCGCGGCGCGAACCGAGTCACGACATGGGGGCTCTTGGCCGCCCTCGGCCCGGGGGGCCCCAGGACACCCAGAGAGGGGTCGGATGAAGAAGCGGCCGCGGGGAAAGGGGTGGGACTTGCGAGGACAAGTTTTTTTGTGTTTTTTTTTTTTTTTTTTTTTTTTTTTTTTCCTGGTTTTTATGTTTTTTTCTTGTTTTGCCGATCGGCGCGGGCCCTCGCCCCCCCCCCCCCTCCCCCCTTCCTGGAGTAGATCTTGGCTGTTTTTTGGCGCCCGTTTCGAGCAGGTGGAGCCCTCCCCCCAATTGGACGTACTGCCGTAGAACAGTCGCACTGAGCAGGGGTCTGGAGCCAGACTCCCTTCCCCCCCCTCCCCCCCCTTCCGCCCAGTGCCCACACGCCGAGTATAAGAGACACGCTCACCCTTGCAGCGAAACACCAGGCCCGTCGGCGGCCTGGGGACCCCTCCCCTGGGGGCCGGCTCGCCCTCCCGGGGGCGTCTGCGGACGTCCCTGGGGGCCCCGCGGGAGGCCCCGCAGAGGCCGAGCACCGGTGAGAGCACGCTCCGCGGTGCCCCCTGCACGGCGGCAGGGGGTCCGGGCCACTCGGGGCTCGCCGCCGCCTCCCGCCGGCAGGAGGCTCGCGCCGAAGGCGCCCACCCCATGGGCGCGGCGGTGCTACGTGTCTCCGGCCGCGCGCCCGCCGTCGCTCTCCGTGCCTCTCTCGGGGCGGGCGCTCGCGCGCCGCCCCGCCCTGCGGCCTGCCTCGCCGCTGCCGCCGCGTCCGCTGCCCTCCCCCTCTTTGTGCTGCCGCCGTGCTGGGTACCCTCGGACGGGGCCAGGACGAGGGTAAATCCGTTCCAGAGCGTTCTGGGACGCTCTTGGGGTGTTCTGGAACGCTCTGAGAAGGGCGCGGCGCCCGAGACATTCTCCAGAGCCGCGGGATCTCAGGGATTCTCGATCCATCCTCACCCGAATTTGTCCTCGACCTGTCTTCGTCTCATCTGCTGGAAGCACCCTGGGCCACGGACACTTGCGGCGACACCCGGCCCCTCCCTGTCCTCCACCTCCCCTGCGCTGGCGTTAAGTCGGGCATGTCCCTCCACAGGAGGAGTATTCAAACATAGTCAACAGATAGTCTGGGGACGATACTTCGAATCTGTATGTGTGTTTGTATGTATGTATGCATGTATGTATGTAGGTAGGTAGGTGGGTAGGTAGGTAGATAGGTATGTATGTATGCAGACAGGCAGGCAGGCAGGCAGGGGTAAGTAGGTAGGTAGGTAGGTAGGTCGGTAGGTAGGTAGGTAGGTAGGTCGGTAGGTAGATGTATGTATGTCTGTCTGTCTGTCTGTCTGTCTGTCTGTATGTCTGTCTGTCTGTCTGTCTGTCTGTCTGTCTGTCTGTCTGTCTGTCTGTATGTATGTGTGTATGTATGTATGTATGTATGTATGTATGTATGTATGTATGTATGTATGTATGTATGTATGTATGTATGTATGTATGTATGTATGTATGTATGTATGTATGTATGTATATATTTATATTTATATGTATCTATTGATATAGATATATGTATGCCTATTTTTGGGGACTACATCCCCAGGCCGAAAGTTTTTTTCCTCTTGGCGCTGAACCTCACGGTCCCGCGCGGTGCACGGGCCCTCTGGGAAGTCATAGCGGCGAACCCACTGAGGGTTGCACGGATCCGATTTCCTACCTTACCGTAATCGTGAAGTCGCCGCGGATCCCATTTCCGTGCGCGCGGATCCTATTTCTGATTTTCGGGCCCCGCGTCGGAGCCTATTTTGTACGGCGGATCCCATTTCTACTCCGTTTTGAATTTCTAGTATTCAATTCGTTCTGGGGTCCGACAAGAATAGGATCCGTCGACCGCAGGCCCCCCCCGTGTTCAGATTCTACGGGGGACGGGGGTGGTCCTCTTCGACGTCAAGAAGAAAATCTTTCGTCCTGCGTAAGTGCGCTGGCGCCCCGACCCAACCAACGGGCCCCCTGAAGTTCCCACCGCGCGGTGGCACGGCGCCGCGTCTGGCCGAGCACGGATGGAGGGCATCATATTTTCAAAACGGTGGCTGCCGCCCATAGGCATGGTGGAGTGGAAGGCACGCGAGGAAGTCTCGAACGGCAGTCCTCAAGAGCATGTGAGGAAGTCTCGAACGGAAGCCGCAGAAAAGAGATGTGCCGCATGCGGCAAAGGACAGGTCGGATGCCAAAAAAAGCCATGCGCCGCGCCCTGCGTCTCCCGACCCAACGGGCCCCCTGAAGTTCCCACCGCGCGGTGGCACGCCGCGCGGCGTTCGGCGCCGCGTCTGGCCGAGCACGGATGGAGGGCATCATACTTTCAAAACGGTGGCTGCCGCATGGTGGAGTGGAAGACACGCGAGGAAGTCTCGAACGGCAGTCCTCAAGAGCATGTGAGGAAGTCTCGAACGGAAGCCGCAGAAAAGAGATGTGCCGCATGCGGCAAAAGACAGGTCGGATGCTAAAATCACCCATCCCCAGGTCGAAAGTTTTTTCCTCTTGGCGCTGAACCTCACGGTCCCGCGCGGTGCACGGGCCCTCTGGGAAGTCATAGCGGCGAACCCACTGAGGGTTGCACGGATCCGATTTCCTACCTTACCGTAATCGTGAAGTCGCCGCGGATCCCATTTCCGTGCGCGCGGATCCTATTTCTGATTTTCGGGCCACGCGTCGGACCCTATTTTGTACGGCGGATCCCATCTCTAATCCGTTTTGAATTTCTAGCATTCAATTCGCTCCGGGAACCGACAAGAATGGGATCCGTCGACCGCAGGCCCCCCCCCGTGTTAAGATTCTACGGGGGACGGGGGTGTGTCTTCTTCGACGTCAAGAGGCACATCTTTCGTCCTGCGTAAGTGCGCCGGCGCCCTGCGTCTCCCGACCCAACGGGCCCCCTGAAGTTCCCACCGCGCGGTGGCACGGCGCCGCGTCTGGCCGAGCACGGATGGAGGGCACGCACGGATGGAGCTCCTTCGAGGAGGCACCCGGGGGAGCATTTTCGAGGCCTTACGTCGGGACTGTCCCTCTACAGGGGGAATATCCAAGCCTAGTCAACAGATGGTCTGGGGACGATGTTTAGGGTATCGTCGAGCATGTTTTTGATTCTTTTTTGGGCTACTTTTTATTTTTCGTCCCAAATCCGCCTGTGGGGGGACATGCCCGACCTAATAGAAGCCCTTCCTTGACATCGCTCGGACGTGTGCATCCTTCCTCTGCGAGGCTAAACGAGGAGCGTCTTGGACCACCCTTCGAAAAACACGCGCGCGAGGTCGAGAAGTGCACGGGGAGTGGACGTCCGAGCGACGTCGAGCTCCCGGCTTCTGAGAAGCCTTCCTGACAGCCCCCGGGCCCTGCCGAGACGGCTCCGGCTCCCTGAGACTTGGCATCGCTCGGACGTGTGGGTTTTTCCTTCGGCGAGGACCATCGAGGAGCATCCTTGATAATTTGGCGAAAAAACCCGAAACCGAAAAAAGCACAGGGAATGGACGTCCGAGCGATGGCCAGGAGAGAGTTCCTTGCCTTCTCGGGAGGCGGCCCCCCAGCGCAACTTCCTGGTGCGCGCCGCCGGCCACCGCTCCTCCCCTCTTCCCCCCCTTCCTGCTGCTGCCGCTCGCCCTCCCTTCTCCTCCTCGCCCGCTGGCGCCTCTTTTTTTTGACGTTGCGCAGACGAGGATCGGAGATCGCTGCGTTGTTCGTGTCTTGCGAAAACTCATCGCCCATTTGGGCGAAGACGCCAACACAGTGGACAGGTGGCGGGCGCTGCGGGCAAAGTCAGGCAAACCAGAAAGGCAGCATAGAGAGAGGCCAAACGAAGAGAGAGGGAGAGAGAGAGAGAGAGCGGCAGGCAAAGGCAGCAGAGAGAGAGAGAGAGAGCGCTGCGGGCAAGGACAGGCAAGAAGAGAAAGGCAGGCAGAGAGAAGCTGCCCCCCCCCCCTCTCCCTCTTCCCCTCTTCCTTCCTCCCCCCCCTTTTCTCCTCCCCCCTCCCTCCTCCCCCTTTCCCTCCCCCTTCCCCCTCCTCCCTCCTCCCTCCTCCACCCCCCGCGAATCTGGGTGTGCTGGCCCATGCGCAATCGCACGGCGGAGGCGCATCTGGGGAATTTGCTGCCGAGCTTTGGGCGGGGCGTCCGGCCCCCCTTGCCGCGGACGAGGTTTGGCCACGCTCGCGGGACAGCCCACTGTGTCCGGCACGCTTGCTGCCTTGCGTGCTCTCTTGATATCTTGCAGGGTGCGTTATGGATCTTCCAGGCTGGGGCTGTGCATTATGGCTCCGTCCCCATCCTTCCAAGGCTCCGACGGGGCTCACATGCTTGGCTACCAACCGACTGTTTCAAAACGAGGTGATGACCCTTCACTGGTGATGACTTCCCACATGGTGAGACGAGCTAGCTGCATTTTCGATGGCTGCACTTCTCGTTCACATCCTCTCCAGCCGACTACCTCTTTTCCTTTTTTTTCGCACTGTCGTTTCTAGCGCTTTGCGCCCTCCGCCACCCTCTCGTTTCTGTGCGTTGGGCCGCCTGGGACTCAGGGCGGGCTGGGCCTCCCTTCGCTGATGAGGGCGGCGGTCGAAACAAGTAGCCTCGTTTTTCCTTGTGGTCAGAACCTTCAGCAAGATGGCGCGCAGACTGCTGCAACGTCGAATTTCGACTGGACTCCGCCTCCGCCTCCTCCTCCTCTTCCTCCTTCTCCTCCTCCTCCTCCTCCTCCTCCTCCTCCTCCTCCTCCTCCTCACGCGGCGGCACAGCTCGGACCGAACGCGCCCCACAGCAGCCGTGGCATCGACGGCCACCTCTGCGGTGACCTTGATGGCCACTTCATCGCCAGAGCTCCTCGGCGACGCCTTGAAGGGAGACGGGGTGGACCAACTTCTGCGTGCCGACTGCGGCGACGGCTGTGCGCGCGGGCTGCGTCGGCACTGATCAGGCCGTGCGCCTGCTGGCGCGGTGGCATCAGTCGCAGCAACTCAGTCCCTTCTGCTGCTGTGCTCCAGTCAGTCTGGTGGGCACGGTTTCTTGCACCCGCTTGGTCTCCGCGTGCATCAGTCTCCGCGTTTTTCTGTAAGCGGTTGCCCCCGTCCAGTCTGCCCATCCGCTACGCCTGGTGGAAATTCGCCTAAGCGTGACCCGGCTTAGCGCATCGCGACGTTGTCGTCGCGTTGCCGCCGGAGGAAGTGTGTGTGTGTGTGTGTGTGTGCGTGTGTCCCTCCTCTTCCTCGGAACGCGAGTGGTTTCGATTCTGGGCTGGTCCGAGGAACGGCGCCGTGGGTGGCCTTCCGCCGCCAGGCGTGCGGTCGGGCTATCATTCGCCCCCTCCCCCCCCCCCCCCTCTTATGATGCTCCAACCTACTGGAGCCTTGGTCACCAGAGAGAATGTCGAGCACCAAGAAATTGCCGAAACTCGAGGGCTTTCGCGTGTCGGGCCCTAGGAGGCGACATTTGTTCGACACTCTTCCGGGTGCTCGAAATGATTTCTGGGCTGTGGCCCTTGAGTGCGATGGGAGCAACATGGCCCCCCCTCCTCTCTCGTCGCCTCCTCGCCGTCCGGGCCTCTTCCTTCTCGGTCGCCCTCCTGCGCTTCGGCTTGTGGGTGCGTGTGCGGGCCCTGGCTGGCCCGAGGAGCGGCGCCGTTGGACGGCGTCCCCGCCGCCGGACGTGCGGAGGAGGAGGAGGAGGAGGAGGAGGAGGAGGAGGAGGAGGAGGAGGAGGAGGAGGAGGAGGAGGAGGAGGAGGAGGAGGGAGGAGCAGGAGGAGGAGGAGCAGGAGGAGGAGGAGGGAGAGGAGGAGGAGGAGGAGGAGGAGGAGGAGGAGGAGGAGGAGCAGGAGGAGCAGGAGCAGGAGGACGTCGCCTCCTTCCCTCCTCGTCGTCCGCTTCCTCCGCCCGCCCTCCGCCCGCCTCGGGCTGCGAGCGGCTTCGATCCCCGGCTGGCCCGAGGGACGGCCCCGTGGATGGCCTCTTCGCTGCCGTCGTGTGTGTGTGTGTGTGTGTGTGTGTGTGTGTGTGTGGGTTGGGCGATCTTTCGCCTACCTCCCTCCTTGCTGTTTCCTCTTCGTCTTGGCCTCCTTCTTTCCTCGTCGTCCCAGTGGGCTGGCTCTCTCTGCTTTCTAGCGTTGACGCTCCCCTGCACGTCTTGCAAGTGGGCATTCTGAGCCATCTCAGATATTCCCGTCGCTTGCACGACTTGCATGTGTTGTGGAATTGTCTGTTGCACACTCGCCCGCCAAGTGCAATCCATTCTTCTGCACGTCTGCTTGCACAGCGTAGTCTGCTCATCTGCAACGCAAGGTGGACTTACACTAAGCGTGCCCCGCCTTGGTATTCGCGTCGGTGCCGTCTTTTCGCCGGTGGAGGAATTATGTTTTATGTACATGTGTGTGTGTGTGTGTGTGTGTGTGCGTGCGTGCGTGCGTGCGTGCGTGCGTGCGTGCGTGCGTGCGTGCGTGCGTGCGCGCGCGTGCGTGTGTGTGTGTGTGTGCTGTGTGTGGGGCGGACGAATATGCGAAGGAGGGATGAAGTCGAAGAGGAAAAGGAGGATGCGTATGGAGGGCTATGAGGAACAGCGGGGAGGTGAATACGAGGAGGTGGAACAGGAGCATGAAGAGGATGAGTGATGAGGATGAAGAGAAAGGATGAGGATGAAGAGTGTGGCTTTCGCGACGCCCTCCGTCAGTCTGGTGGCGGCGGTGGCGTGCCCGTCATCGGCGGTGTCGCCGCTGCCTTTGGCGCGGAGGACGCTTCGGGGGAAGGGGCGGTCTCTCCGTTGCTTTCTGTGCTCCGGTCTGGCGTCGGGACGTCTTTTTCTTCAGCTCGCACTCGGTGCTGCTTCCTTCTGACGCCGCGCTCTCGCCAGGTTTCGCGCCAAAGACCGCTCGAATTCTCCGAAGACCGCCCGCAGCCGCCGAATATCGCCGAAGACTTCCGAAGACCGGCAGAAGGCCGCCGAAGACCGCCGGAACGGCCCAAGGCCGATGGGCGCGAAGGTGTCCATGCTCGAATGCGACGGTAGAGGGAAACCATTCGTGGGTGCGCCCCCTCTCCCCCAAGCTCAGAGTTGGCACGCGCGGAGGAGGCTGCGGTCGAAGGGCAGCTCGTCAGACCCAGCGTCGATTTCGAACATGGGGGGGGAGGGGGAGGCGTTGACCGATGAACGGGGCATGCGTGTTCGCTATTGTCTTCCGAGGCCTGGGAGGCGTGGGAGGGGCGCCTCGTGCGCCTGCGCGTCGGTCTCCGTGGCTCCGCGCGGCGAGAGGCAGCGTGCGCGCTCCCGAGAGGAGGAAGGAGAAGACGAATACTGATGGTAATAGTATGTAGGCGAAGATGAAGAGGATGGTGGTGGTGGTGGTGGTCGTGATGATGATGATGCTGATACTGATGCTGATTATGATGATGATGAGGGTCCTGCTGCTGATGATGATGATGAAGATGATGATGATAACGATGATGATGCTGATGCTGATGATGGTGATGATTGATGATGTATGATTGGTGATTGATGATGAGGATGGTGATGATGTTGTTGCTGCTGCTGTTGGTGATGATGCTGCTGCTGATGATGATGCTGCTGCTGATGATGGCGATAACGATGATGATGATGATGATGATGATGATGATGATGATGATGATGATGATGATGATGATGATGATGATGATGAGATGATGCTGATGATGATGATGATGATGATGATGATGATGATGATGATGATGATGATGATGATGATGATGATGATGATGCTGATGATGATGCTGATGATGATGATGATGATGATGATGATGATGATGATGATGATGATGATGATGCTGCTGCTGCTGATGATGATGATGATGATGATGATGATGATGAGATGATGATGATGATGATGATGATGATGATGATGATGATGATGATGATGATGATGCTGCTGATGATGATGATGATGATGATGATGATGATGATGATGATGATGATGATGATGATGATGATGATGATGGTAATGATGATGATTAGGAGGAGGAGGAGGCGGAGGAGGAGGCGGAAGACCAGAGCATGCGGAAGGCAAGTGAGGGAATTTTCGGGCCTCCTCATCCCCTTCTCTTGCTTTCTCGTCTCCTTGCGGCGTTTCTGAGCTTTCTGGATGCCTGGATCCTGCTTGGTCGTGTCCCAGTGTCGCGGGGGCGGCGGCAGGGGTGGGAGAAGGAGAGGAAGGACGAGGCATCAGACGAGGAATAGGAGGGCGCGGGGGAGGAGGGGCAGAAGGAGGGAGGTGAAGGGCAGAGGAGGATGAGGAGTGAGGGAAGGGGAATGACGAAGAGCAGGCGGGGGAGGAGGCGGAAGGAGTGCCCGTGCACGCGCATGCAGGGTGCGCGCGCGCGCGCGTATGAACCCTGTGCGCTTGTATACTGCGTGCGCGGGTGCGCTCGTGGGGAGCACCGCGGCGGCGGAACGAAACCCGAAATCGAACGAATCAGTCGGCTGGTGGTCGGGGCTCATCTCGACCTGGCCTTGTCTTGACCATGCCCTTGCTTTCCCGGACTAAGGGGCCCAGAAGATGGCGAGGCCGCGCATCGCAGGAGAAAACGCTTAGGATCGGAAAAACCGATCGGCGGTAGTCGGGGCCTGCCTCGCCAAACTGGGGTGCTGGACAATGGCGAGGCCGCGCGCAGAGGAGAGATACACGGATCGAATTGATTGGCTGTTGAAAGAGCTGGCGGTCAAACCGCTGAAGTAACGGACCAATCTGGGTTCAAGGGCGTTTCCAGTTTTCGGGTCTTTCTTTAGCAGGCCTAGGTCGGGGAACCCTTTCGTGGCCCATGCCCGCCGTGGCCAGGAGAGCGCCCTCGTTCCTCACGTGGTGTTGCTTTCAGTCGGCACGGCGACTGCATCTCGACCTGAGCATACCTCGGCAACGGAAACTTCGTCCACGCCCGTGCTGCTGCCCCACCCCGACGAGGGGGCCTGAGCGGGGGCGCGGGCAAGCTGCCATCCTCCGGAGGCCAAGCCTCCGTCCGTGCCTTGCCCCCGTGGCGCCCTCAGCGGGAGGCAGCAGCAGGGGCAGGTTCGCGTCGTGTCGACACGGCGGCAGCCCCCGCGCGGGCGCTCCAGGTTGAACGCCGGTTGTGGCCCAGAGTCGACCAGCACGGAGCAAGCGGGCCATCGAAAAGCCGCCGATCGTCTACAATTGGATGATCTGCGCGGCGTGAGAACCAGCGGCGGGGTCGACACGACATCATCCTGCCGTAAGTTCAGGGGGAAATCATCGACCCCCGATCGCCCATGTATCGCCGATGCGGGCCCGATTGCCCACCCCTCCCAGGCGCATGCGGTCTCGTCATCTGGGGCCTATCGCCGATTGGTCGGCGACGCGTCGCCGATTCTGGTTCGATGTTTCCCTCTTTGAGTTGGCGCTGCCCACCAGGGGGTGGCGCGAGGGGGGTGGGCTTCTGAGACGGCGGCGGTGCTCTTGAGAAGGCAGAGGGGGGGCTTCTGAGGGACGCCTCTTCGGAACCCCCTCCAGCAGGAAGTCGGGCATGTCCCTCTGCCGGAGGCATATTCAATAGCAGTATACAAATAGTCTGGTGACGATGTTTCGTGCTCTTTTTTCTCAAGCTCTCCCTGTAGGCGGACATGCCCGTCCTGAGCCCCCGCTGCCTTCTGAGAACACCCTCTCCGCCTTCTCGGAAGGTCGCCTCCCTCGCCCAACACGTCCTCGCGGGCGCCGCCAACCGACCCAAAGTCCCACCCCTATCGCCGCTGCCCCTCCATCCATCGCCTGCGCCCCTCGAGCAAGAAAAAACCGCGGAGGCATAACAATTTCTCGGAGGTCCGCGCGGATTCTGAGATCCGGCGCTGGGCGCCAGCGCCGCCAGGCGGAGCCCAGCGCCTATCCAAGAACTCCGCGCGGACCTCCGCAGGTTGGTGCTCGTGCATCTGCTGCTGGCTCCTGGAGGCCCTGCCTTCGCCCCGGGCCCCAGGCCCCTGACGCCGCGACTTCTGCACAGCGCGGGCCCCCGGAGCTCTCGACCCCTTTCCCCAGGACCGCTCCTTCATCCCGAGTCGTCTTCGGACGGCCCCGGGGCCCTGCGAGGGGGGGTCTCTGGGGGCGAAAGCGGCGGCAAACCCGCCGCCGTGGACTTTTTTTGTACGCCTCGAGGGCCCCCCGCCGTGGACTTTTTTTGTGCGCCTCGAGGGCCCCCAGGGGCGAAGATAATCAGCAGAGGACCTCCTGCCGCGGGTTCTTCTCACGCCCCGAGGGGGCCCCGGGGGCCCCCGCCTCGGACCCACGGGGCATCCCCCCGCGCCCGCCGCTGCAGGCGCCCGGCCGATCAGGCGCCGCGGCCGCGCCCCGCTGGCACGTGGGCCTCGTGGTGGCGCCGCGCGGGGGCCTCCTCCCCCCTCGCCCTCCTGCTGAGCAGCTGATGATGGCACGGGTGTCGTACCGACGCTGCCTCCTCCTCCTCCTCCTCCTCCTCCTCCTCCTCCTCCTCCCCTTCCCCCCCCCCCCCTCCCCCCTCCCTCTCTTCCTCCCCCTCCCCAGCCCCTTCCCCTTCTCCCCCTCCCCCAGCCTTCTCCTCTGCTCTCCTCCCTGTCCTCCTTGACCTCCTTGTCCTCCTCTCCTCCTCTCCTCTTCTCCTCCTCCTCCTCCTCCTCCTCCTCCTCCTCCTCTCCTCCTCCTCCTCTCCTCCTCCTCCTCCTCTCCTCCTCCTCCTCCCTCCTTCCTCCTCCTCCTCTCTCCTCCTCTCCTCCTCCTCCTCCGCTCCCTCCTCTCCTCTCCTCATCCTCCTCCTCCTCTCTCCTCCTCCTCCTCCTCCTCCTCCTCCTCCTCCTCCTCCTCCCCCTCCCCCTCGTCCTCCCCCTCGTCCTCCTGCTGCTCCCCCTTTTAAAGTTGAGAGGACACAAGCTGCACAGCTGCGTTCGGATGCCGACTCAGGCGAAGTGGCAAACAAGACTTGGGCTGTGGCAGCGAGCGTCTGCTGAAGTGTCGGGTGTTTGACAGGTGAAACTCGGTGGTCAGTAGCTTCAGGTACGCAGGCTTAAGTGGACAGCTTGAGTGGCTGGGAGCGCTTGTGACTGAGTGTGCGTATCTGCTCGGGCTGTGGGCTAGGGCGGCGCAGGCGATGGAGGTGATCATGCCCTGCAGGATATGCTGCAGCGTGAGGAGATTCGAAGAGGGTAACCACGAGGGTATCTTGTAACGGACGAAGCGCCCCGTACTACATTGTGGTGTGGGTTCCGCCCATGAGGGGTGCAAGGAGCAATGACCTTCTGACGTTGAGTCTTGGCATCGCTCGGACGTGTGCATTTTTCCTTCGGCGAGGACCATCGAGGAGCATCCTTGATCATTTGGCGAAAAAACCACGCACGAAACCGAACACAACACAGGGAATGGACGTCCGAGCGATGGCCAGCGAGTGGACATCATCTGTACAGCTGTTGCGTTCGTCCTTCTTCATCCTTTCCTCCTCCTCCTCCTCTTCTCTCCGCTCTGCGCTCTCCGCTCCCCGCTCTCCGCTCTCTGCTTCTCCTTGGTTCCGCTCCCTCTCTATCTCGATCTCTCTTTCTCCTCCTCCTCCTCCTCTTTTGCCTCCACTTCCTCCTCCTCCTCCTCCTCCCCCTCCTCCTCCCCCTCGCCCTTCCCCTTTCCCTCCCCCTTTCCCGTACACTTCCCCTTCCCCTTCCCCTTCCCCTTGCCTGCCTCACGCTGCACCCCGCCCAGGTAGTGCCGCAGCAGATTGCTTGGGTAGTCGAGCGCCTCGGGAAGTTCCACAAG